ACTAACAGTCCCCAAAAAGGGGTATAAATATGTGAGGGTATGCAAGAAATGGTACAAGAGATAAAAATGTGACAGTAATGCAAAGATAATGGTCTGTGCTTTGGAGCTTCTGTCTTTACTAATTGTGCTAATAAAAGATACAATTGTGCTAATAAACTTTGCTTTACCCTACAATTCCTCAACTCTTAAAATTATTTTGAATTCAATAATAATCAATGGCCACACACACACACACAAAAAAAAAAAATCAGGCAACACTTTAATAAAGTCACCAGGGAACATAAGCTTCAGTGATCATAGCCAGAACTGCTGGATCTGAATTTCATTTTAAAAACATGAAATGCAACATAAAACATTATCACCTTATCATTTTCCATTCAAATCCCTCTTTGAGAAGCATAGCAGCCAGGCCTATTCAAAGATCCAAAATGATGATTAAATAATTAGAAAACATGCCCTCTACTGATAAACTCAAAGAGCTCAATATACTTAGGGTTACATACATCATGGTTTTTCCAGGCACAACCTCTTTTTTTGGACCCCCTGATCTCCGTGCAGGTAGATTTTTGAAATATGAACAAATGTCTGTATTCTTTGCTTGTCCTTTTTCCAACATTGATTCTGCTAGAATTTCAATTCCCTGCATACACAAAGAGCAGCATCCATGTTTACCAGTTTGCCACTTTTACTTCTGTGCTGGTGACAGCACTGCTTTCAGCGGCACAGAGCTAAGGATAGCATGGTATTGACTATTGAATCACTGAAAGAGATCCTGTTTGTGCAGTACAGCTTCAGACACAGATCCTGTGAAGACTTTCAAGGCTACTTGATGAGCTATCAGCCACTGTTGAGAAAGAAACACCCTTCAACAGGAAGAAGCAGACAGATCTTTTCTACTATGCATGTATAAAGATTTAAATTTGATTTAAATTTATTTGACGCCATTACACTAAATGTTAGATACTCAAAACACAAAAGAAGCTATAAAGTAGAAAACTGTACCCTTCCCTTCTTCCTCCCTCTCTAACTGTTCCCTGGCAGCGTTCTCTATTTGGGAACTTAAAATATGGCAACCCTAAATACAGTTAGATTAACAAAGAAAATGTTAAGAGTAAGTTGATTACTGTCTTCTAAGTATACACATGGCAAACAAATATTTCATAATGGGCTCTTCAATCAAGGAATATAAAAGGTTAAGTAGTTACCCATTAAGCTTACTGGACTGCTTACAGGATAACTGGACCTTATCCAAACTCTGGTGAACGACCAGCCACGCCAGACTAGAATAGCTCTGGCACTTCAGTCACACCCACATCAGGCATGACAGCTGGGGTCCCAGCCACATGGCGGACAGAAGGGCCCCAGCACCAGCAGCCCCTGCGTCATCCACAGCGGGTAAGCTGACCTGGTGCAGCCATGTCTGACAGGAGGGACTCCTGCCCCACAGAGGAAATGCAACCAGCCTACCAACTGTTAACTAGTTAAATATAAATAGTAAATAGTATAATTTTAATAATTTAATCAGTTAACTTTTTTAACAGATATTTATATCCCCACTTCAATCTAGCAGACAAAAGTACAACATGATCCAATGAATAGAAGTGAAAGCTAGACAAAGACTGGAAATGAGACCAATTTTAAAAGTGAGAATAATTGACCATTGCAAAATTTAGCAAAGATCATGGTGAAGTTTCCATCACTGACCATTTTAAAATCAGAATTCAATGTTTTTTTCTAGAAGATACGCTCTAGGAATTAGTTTGCAGAAGTTCTATGGCCAGTGTTATACAGGAAATCAAACTAAGTGATTACAATGGTCTCTTCTCAACTTGGAATCTAGGAATTCTAAACCACTTACAAAGTAATTCCATTACAAGAAAACTAAACAAATAACTGTCTCAAATGGGACTTTAGCTCATCTGGCAAGTTACCTCTGAACTGTTTTTAACTTAAGTTCTAATTTTTTGAAGAAGGGACCATGTTTTGCTCTATTCTACAGCCACAGAAAACTGATGCTGCCAAAAACTGCAACTTCCTAATTTTTTTCTTTAAAGAGAATCTTTAAAGAGTCTGATTCCATAGAAGAAAAAATCCCAGGCACCATCTGAGAAATTCAAGATCACACTATTTACTAGGATAGTCTTGTGTATGACCAAACTGTTATTGCTAGACTGCCGAGGATCCAACCTGAGAGTATTCATATTTCCAAACGAAATTTGTAAGAGCCAATGGTGCGTAGAACTAATGAAAACCTCACTCAAGTTCCTGCAGTAGTAGTTAGAGCAGAATACATTTTTGCCTCTCTTAACATTCAAAGTGTACCATGCAAACTGCTAACTATATTATAACAGAATAGTGTCTTATGTTTACTATGATACTTTTAAGAATTCAAAACACCCAATCCCTCATGCACTAGCTAAGAGTAGAGGCTTATTGAGTTAGTGGCAATGAATTGCATTGCTATATCAAACATCAGAATTTGCAATCAGAGATTGACTTTTCGCTCTTTGCATGGCTGGAACTGAAAGCATGGCAGGTGGAGCAAACTCACCTTTGAAAACTTGCAAGGAATAAATATCCTGTGGTTCATCAGGGACTCCCTCTGAATAACGGTCAAAGAAAAATTAACTAACTCTAAAAGAAGCCCTATCCAATCATCTTTGGTTTGGAGAATTTTCTCCACAAAAGGAGTTTGACAGCAATACAAAAAAGTTGATTTGTTATATGCACAGTCATAAAAACACACAGGCATAATTTTTCTTTTCATCTAAACCATCCTACTACAC